AATTCTATCGATCTTGGGTTCGGGTGTAAAGGTCAAACCGAGGTCAAAATTAGCCGCCTTTTTCTGGAGAGCATGCTTTAGTGGGCTCTCCAGAAAAAGGTGCTGTTGTGCTCATGATGCTGATGTTCATTTGGAGTTGTTTGGTGACAGGGGCTGTATTTGATATCGTCCATGGACTCTTTAAAGGTCAGAGAATTTCACTGACCCAAAATGTCCCAGATCAATGTGTAGTTTTAAAGAACGTGTCGCCTAGCGTAATCCTTGATGCTCCATGAAGTTCCAAAATCAAAGCAGTCTTTTGCTTAGAACAGGTATGCAGGCTCAAGGCGGTTGCGTGGGGAAGTATGGAGGCACTTTGGATACCAATCTGGATTTTTCTCTTGTTTGACCTTATTTGACCCGAAGGTCACGGCATAGAAACGTCAAATTTTGGCATAAGTGAGCACACATACAGGCCAACCGCCCTATAGATTTGTTGTCTTCTAAAATCTCAGAAAGCTCAAAGTGACCCCCACCCGAGCGAACGGTAGTCAACCGGTGACCCAGACGCGTGTTTAAGGTGCTCCCCATTGGCGTTTATCTATGACGCCATCTCAGTGGCCGGAGCTCGGGCCGAAAGTCAATAAGGAACTGGGCCCAGATGTACGCCTCCATTGGAGATATACCCCATCACCCTGTGCCAGACGTTCATCTGGCGTATGCTCCCAGGTGTAGGTTCCCGTTCGCGTTGTGTTGTATCAGTCCGTGCAGGGCCGTCAGCTCCAGTGTGCCTTCCGTCGGCGTTGCGTGTGCTGGCTGCGTGCACGCCTCGTGCGTGTCCGCCGGGCCGCCGTCGCTGAGCGCCCGCCCTCTCCGCGGCCAGGCGAGCTGAGCGCGCGCATGCGCATCAAGGACAACCTGTGGCAGGAGGCGTGGGCCACCTGCAAGCCGGTGCCGGCGCGGCGCCAGCGGCGGCTGTTCGACGAGACGCGCGAGGCTGAGCGGCTGCTGCACCAGCTGTCGGAGCCGGCGCCCGGCCGCCTGCTGCAGCTGGTCAGTCGGCGCCGGCGGCGGGGCCGACGCGGGCCAACCTGCTGCGGCTGTCACGCGCTGTTGTGATGCGCCCCAGCCTGGCAGACGGCCGTGACGCTGTGTGTGACACGTCCGTGGGCCGGGTCAGAGCGGAGCTGTAACAGAGACGGGACACGTGACCTCCACCCCGTCCGCGGCGCCGCGCCGCAGAAGGTGTGGAAGTCACGTCAGTCACCGCACCAGGCAGGGGCCATCCGGACACCTGTGTACGGGCTGGCCCCGCCGTTTGGAGGTCATCCACTGCTTTCACTTGGTGTCAAGGCAGTCATACGACGACACGATATTCAGATGCTTGGTGCTATAAATATTTATATTTCACGAACCAGTGCAAAGGTTGCCATTCCTTCTAGCGTTCCCTTATAGTGTTCTGTTCTAACGTTTACTCCGTGAAACTGATGTAGGCAGTCCTCAATGCTGGGCTCGAATTGACTGGGACGTTTGCTGGATGATCGGGTATATCTTGCTCCGTGTGCCTGCTTACGACCCTCCGTAGTTGGTAATATGCTCTGCTTCACAGCTGGCGCCTGTCATCTACCACGCTGCCATCTATAGGTTGGTGGAAGAATTGGAGCCTGATGACCTTGCCGCGGTGGGGCAGCAGCTGGGAGAGGCGGCCCGCCGTCTGCAGTCGGCCGCCAAGGCTGACTGGGAGGCCAGCGCCTATAGCGTGCGTGACCTGCACTGCACCTGGGGCTCGCCCGGGATCCGACCTGTCCCGGCGGGCTAGGGTGAACTCAGGGGTCTATTGTTCTGTTGGGGTGTGGTCTCCAACTTTTCCCTCTCCACTACTCGGAGAAAAGAGTGAGCAGAATCTGGGGTGAAACCTGCTTATATCTCTTCTTCTTTTTTTTTGGGGGGGGGGTGTTTTGTTGTATTTACAGGCGCCAATTCATTTTACCACTATGTGCACTCCATCCAGACGTTGCGCCGAGGATCCCTCGTCATTAAACGTTCGGTATATGACATTGACGTCTCATGACTCTTAAGGCCATGACTGAGTGTGGATGGGTTGGGAAAGATGGGAGGACGAACTGGGCCATTTGGAGCCAAGTTTTTGGGAGTTATGGAGTGATCTGGCCAGAACCGTGATATCCTAGTGGAGACAACCAATGCAGAATAGGCTCGCTGCACTTTGTATTATATTGAACACTCGTAGCTCTATGATAATGCTTATTGTAGTTCTTGGAAGTGAGTTGCATGTGAAGTGCCTGCACCCCAAACGACCACCTGCCAGCGGCGTTGTCATTAGGCCCGTTTCGCACGCTGTCGCCATCCGGAGGGATTGTGGCGCTGCTGTGCTCCCTTGAGGTAACGCTTTGACGTGGTGAGAGCGCCGTGTGGTGGGTGGTTCTCACAGGCGGTGGGTGAGCTGCTGGCCCGGTGTGAGCATCACGTGCTGAGGCGCCGCTCGCTGGTGCTGAAGCTGGAGGGCGTCCAGGACAAGGACAAGTTTGTGCAGCAGCTGATAGGTGGCGCTGAGGTGGCGGTGCCGGGCGGTGCCAACGGAGGTGCTGCCCGCCATCTCGAGAAGATGCTGACTGCCAGACAGGTCGGTCGGTGTGTGCCGAGTGGTGCACGTTCAGCCAGGGCCTGCGTGCAGCTGAGCAACCAAGCCGTGGCGTAATTTTTTAATATATAGTCTTTAAGTCTTTAAGATTTAATCTTTATAATATTTATTTAAGATCTATGATAAATAAATATAAGATAATATAATTGGTCTTGACTCACTTAACGTAGTTCAGCTTTTGACATGCCAGTCACGCCATTTTTCAGCTCGATCATTCGACGGATTTCCATACTGTGACTGTCTTGTCCCCGTGCTTTCAAATGTTTCCAGGAGATTGCTTGCATTACAAAGTGAGCATCCATTCCCTGTCAGCTGTCCATGCGAATGTGCTGTTTGCCGATTTGCGGCCTTATGACCCCATAGCATATCACTCTTGGTTCATATTTTAGCAGTAAGACGTCCCGTGTGGCGTGTGAGTGTGAGGCGACGGCGGACGGCAGAGTTGCTAGGCGGTGTTGTGTGGACGATGCTTCAAAACTAAGCGTATGAAGCCACAATTCTTGCGGCGAGGGATATCAGAAGCTTTGGTTGCGGCGCCGAAACGTCTTTTGTCATCATGATTTCACGGCCGAGGTCCACCGATGCAGCATCTGCTCGAGAAGAGTAATTGACCGCTCTCATCTCAGTTGCGGCTTACGGCGTTAACCTTGGGCGTCGAATAGTTTGAGATCCGTTAGCAACTACCTTCGGCGTCGAACAGTTTGAGATCCGTTAGCGAGCTTTAAGCGGTGCATTGGCCTATTCAAACGATATTGCGTCTTCAACTGCTATGATTAGTGGGAACGGACGCCATTTCTAAAAGCATGCTGAATGCAAGCGGCGGTAGGGCTTATGCACGAGGGCACGGAGCCGTCTTCTGACACTGATCCACGCTACTGAGCATACATTTGTATTCCCCCCCCCCCTCCCCGTCATAATCATGCTAGTCTCGTGTCGTTGCAATCCCAGCTCGTCAGAACAGACACCCTGTTTTCGCTCGCGTCCTTTATCTTCTGGCTGTTTGAAAACGGCATGCTTTCCTGCTTATTGAATGGGGAAGGTAAAATCTTATATATCACAATATTGCAGGAAGTCCTGCGTGGCCAAACAAACAGCTTCCATGCCGTTGTCTAGGCATTTGCACAGCACAGCTTTGGTTAATCGCTTTCTTGTTGCTTAAAAGCTACACGAGACTGTGATCGGCGGTTGTAATACTGTTGGCTTCCAGAGGTGATGGTCGGACCGGACCCGGCCGCACAGTGGAATAGTCTCGCATAGTTCATTTAAGACACGCCCGGCCTGCAACGTCGCTTATAACCGTTATAACCGTATAACGTTGAAAGAAAACAGCATTTTACCCCCTCGGTGCATGACCATGTGGTACGTGATATGTCCAGGCCAAATTGTCAGTGGCATGGTATGATGTTGGGTCGCGCTTACCAGTAATCAAATTCTGGAATGGTGTGTGCACACCGTATTTAAATTAAATCGCGGTCCAAAAAGATATGTTTGTGGTACTCTGCCGCCAAAGGTTTATGTTTATGTCTGTCCCCATATGTTTATGTCTGGCCATTTTGCGTTTTTATGTCATCTGACTCGTCTGCTCCTGCTGAATTCGAATGTTTAAACCAATATTCGAAATTTTCGGAAACTTTTAGCTCAAAGAAAGGGCCAAAAGTTTGTGAAAATTTCAACTGACGGTCTAAATAACCGAATTCAGCGTGAGTAGACGAATCAGATAATGTAAAACACGCAAAATGGCCAAAAATCGACACATGTGATTTTACCTTTGCACGGCAGAACTAGCTGCTTTCATGTGCTGTGAACCCTTTCGTGTTCAGTTTCTGTACATATGTGATATTGTGACCTTTTTGGCTTATTGGCGTTGACCAGGAGTGAAATTATTTTCTTCAAGAAGAAAGTGGACCAAATCCGTGGAGAAAGGCGTTTCATTGCGCATTTTGGGGGTCAGTTTCGTCATGTTTTACTGCTCAGCCCCACCAACTCATGTTGCGAGAGTACAACCCCGTTTGTGTCGCCGTTGCACAGAGTTTGACCATTCCAGATCTCTCCGTCACAGTTTTGTCAGTGGAGCGTGACGTGTATGAGCGGGCTCTTCCGGTTCGACCGACCGGGGCGGGCGTCGGCCACACTAGGACGGCCGCCGCCGCGCTGCTGACGCCCCAGGCCGCGCACTGACCGCCTCCCCTGACCCGCAGCCGGACCAGGGCCTGCCGCCGCCCGTCACCAAGGAGTACATCCTGCGCGTGACGTGCGCCCGTCCAGGGCCCGGCTCGCGGCCGCTGGCGCAGCGGCTGCGCTGCCTCATCTCCGACCAGCTCTTCCGCGTGACGGCCTCGCTCAGCCAGGACACCATGTTCAGCTAGCCGGAGGCGGCGCCGCAGCCGGCCGGCCCGGCCAGCAGGACGCCGTCCCCTGCGGGACTCCGCCGGGGCCGCGACCGGCTGGGGCCGGGCCGCGCTGTCACACGTCGTCGCCGGCGGCTAGCGCCTCCGCCCTGTGCGATGTGCCGGCGGTGCGAGCGACGGGAGAGCCCGCGGGCCGGACGGGCTGTGTGGCCGGAGCTGCGTGGCCGACACCGGACGTGTGGCTGGGGCTGTGCAGCGGCGCTCTGTCAGTCTCAGCCTGCTGTTACGGCCCGCCTGACCTGTGCGGTCAGCGGTCGGCGGCCCGGCTCACCCCGGCTCACCTCGGCTGCCCGTGCGACAGACGGACGGCCAGTGCGGTCGGTGTGGACAGCTGACTGGGCCCAGTTCTCGGTCCGGGAGGTGGTGCGCCTCCCGACTCCATACGAGTGTCCGTCTGCGGAGCGGCGGCTGGTGCTCTGCCGGGGACCGGGTCCTGATGACCCCGGTAGCGTGGCGGCGGGCGTCGGTGAGGCCAACCAACGGCGTACGTCTGTGAGGCGACGACAGGGGTGGGGCTACATTGCTAGACATGTGTGCTGTATCGAAGTGTCTTCTACATTTATGTTCGTGAGTTGCAGAGAGTGGTTAGAGATATAAAACTGCAATGGTGGGTAGTGTTTAATTGTATAACTGAACTGTGGTTCATATGTTGTTCGTCGATTTTTTCGGCTTTCGTTTGGTGTGTCAAGATGTACTGGGTCTTTCTTGGAAATATATTTTAGTATTTCTCATTTCCTTTCACGTTTGTCGCGTTCTGTGTAGAATGCAATCAAGCAGTGGCCGATCCGACATAACATTTGAAGAGGAGCTGGGTTTTAAATCCCGCGCCCGCGACACGACATACAAGCGCAGCGAGAGGGACAGGCTGAGCTGTTATCAGTTCTGGGAAGGGGCTGTTGGCCTATCCACTGGACCCGCCTGTGAGTAAAAGTGGATTGTAATCCTTAAAAAATGTTAAGAGGCGCGGCATTTCTGCTGGAAACTTTGACATTTTGCGGTGTGCCGCATTTGAGAACAGACTGTGTGTAGGGTACTTCACACGCGATCGCTTAAACTGGGGACATTCCGCCCCACCATCGTATGTAGGTCAAAAGTCGTCAAAATGTGAATACGGCTTCAATCGACTGGGGCTTATGTTTTTCTTTCAGAGACGGGCCCGCTTGTCCCGTATGTGTGACCTATGACTTCTATGGGTGAGACACCGTAAAAGGGGTGTGCGTCAGCGGGTGTGGGTGCATCCTGTAGGATAGACTTCCATCTTTCATGCTTGTACCAACAACCAAAGGCGGCGGCTCCTGTCGCCGAATCAGAAAGATGGTCACAAGTCGCTATTGGGTGCTGTTGAATTGAAGTTGCGTTAGATTACCGGGGTTTGTATGGGATTTCGCAGAAAAAAGGATGTATCCAGAAGTTTATCAGTGAAAACCCTACTATAGCGTGCCGCCGGCGTACAAAAGTTCTTGAGTGGCATATATGAACATCGCATTTTTTCAGTTTACTTATTTGTGCGAGCTTAACTCTATTTTCTCAGTCAACATTTATTCACATGCATGTCAATGCATGCCGAAATTCGATTTGCAAGGCCTATGCCTTCGGTAATTCCTCCTCTCCCTGCCCTTTGAAAGCTCATTAAGAATAAGTCAGGCGAGATCGTGTCAAATTATGAGCATGATGATAAAATTCTAGGATACCTGTTACGGTGAACTTGTTGCCGAATTGTGTTGCCTGATGTGCTAACAACCGACAGCAACGTACCAACACATGCAGCATCGTCTAAAGCGGGGCATGATTTGACCTGTTCCTACGACTTGGCTGACAGCCTGTTCACCGCGCTGGTTCAGTTGGTTCATTATACGGGAAATGGAGTCCGAATGGGTGCTGTTCATGTTCACAACAGCGGAATGAGGCTTTGGCTGTGGTTAGAAGCATGCAGGCAATCGTGCAGACTTTTTGACCTGGCGGGCAATCGTACCTCGTCACCCGGCCAACCATGTTCCTTTCTGTCCCTAAGATGTGTGACATTGATCACGTGACAGACAAACTAAGTTCGATCACGTCCACGTTTCACTTTCTAAAACTATCGACATATATATGAGAGCGGTTTGGTCTCATCCTGGGCGGCCTCGGGCGGTGGTTGGTCACGTGACACGGGCTAGGGTCGCCCTTCGTCGTCTGGGATATAGCTTCATATCGTTGAGTGGGAAGGGAGATGCTCCCCTCCACAACGTGCCATAACAGATAAAGTCTTCGGCCATTAGACTGGTGAAGTGGCCAATGTTACTTTGTCCCTGCGTATCTGCCCGGACATGGCTTTGTCACACCGCACAGCAAGGCTAATTAACGCGCACCCGGGTGGCCGGTTGTACACCCTTCGCTCGAGTAGGGGCTTAATTTGATCCCCCGCTGAGATCTCAGAAAGTAAGGAAGCTAGAAACATCGAATTTACAGGGTGTGTTGACGTGTGCGTGAACTCATTTGTGTCAGCATTGTACTTGCTAGGCTATGATCTTCGAGGCAATTAAGATAAAACAGTGTCAAACTCCACATTGGTGTCCAAAGTGTTCCCATACCTTGTCATGCAACCGCTGCAGATACCTGTTCCTGATACCTAGATACCTGTTCTATGCAGAAAGTGACTTGTGTTCACTCCAAGTCAGTGACATCGTGGGATCGTTCGAAGGCAATGATGAACAAAACAATGCCAGTATTTTGATTTTTGCACTTAAATGAGCGTCAAGGATTACGCCAGCCAATATGTTCCTAAAGACAAAATGATAACCGGGGGTCATAATAGGTCAACGACCTATTCTAAGCTTTAAAAATCAATGGAGGATATGTAATGTGGTTCCTGCTCTTAATAAATTCAAAATGAGCACCAGAAACTACCCCGAAAAAGCGCGCCCTAGAGTAAGAAAACTGTTGGATTTGACCTTGGTCTGGCCTTCATACCTGACCTTAGGTCAATGGAATTTGTTAATTCAATCGCTGCGTTACTTAGGAGGCTATCACAGAAATGCATGGCTTCGTCTAACCGTTCATTGCTGCATCAGATTGAATGATTCCCTGGATACATGGCCTGACTTTGACCTGCTGTAGGCTTGACCTTGCAAGGTTACACTTGTAAGGTGTAACCTTGCAAGTTACATATATTTGTATACTTAACGATCGGTTATTCAATTCTCTACAGCTCGGCAAAATTTTAGAAATCGTTTGGGAATCGTTTGGAGATCGTTTGGAAATCGTTTGGAAACCATTTGGAAGCCATTTCGGAAAGACCTTCGGGGGCTTAATTGACCTCCAGCCCGAACACGTTTTAGGGAATGGGACCATCAAGCCACTATTCCGTCTTGCATGCGTGTCGATCTGTTGACACAAGCATGAAAATGAGCCGGGTTGAGGACCTCCTTTGCTTAATTTTCCTGACGTCTTCGAGAAAATTACAATCAGAACTTTTTTGAACGCAGCTCGTGACGAAGACCATGAACTCTTCAGCACAGCAGTGCCAGTTCACCAGGAACTTTCGCCGAAGTATATCACGTGTCACGCACCCGCCCCCCCCCCCCCCCCTGGCGGGTGGTCTTGGCCGTCAGCGCTCGCCTAAAAGGTGTAGCCGTCGCCACTCTGACCAGACCTAGCCCGGTCGAACAAGATCGACCTGGAGGAGCACGGCAAGAGCACAGCAGGCTCTGAGCACAGCTCTCTGAGCCTCGGGCTCTGAGTTTGGGATAGAAGTCAAAGTTACCGCGCGCAGTGTCCTGCGCCGTCACGTTTGTCGCCCGCGGTCGGTAATGCAGTGACGGAGGCTCTGGCTGACGGCGTATGCCGTGACCCGCCCGTGACCCGAGTCCGAAGCCGGCAGCCAGTGCCTCCCCGCCGGACCAGCCCTGTTGAGCAGAACACGTGACCGGCTCCTCAGAATCCTCAGAGCCCGGCCGCCCGAGATTGATTGTACCGTCACCGTGGCGACCCAGAGCACACCAGTACCACGACGCCGTGAGCTATCGTTTAGCGGATCAAGAGCTTGTAGTGGCCCGCCGTTGCGGGCCTGAGCGGTGGTGGCGTGTGGCGCTGCCAAATCCGAGGCCAGCTGCGAGCATGGTCTGCCGCTTTGCAGCATGTATCGGGCTGTGACGCGGGTCACGGTAGGACAGCAGGGCATGCTTGAGGATGGCGTGCCCAAACAGGGGCGTCGTTGGGATTAGAGGCTTTGTTGATGATCAGAGGTCCAAACTGGCGCTCTGGGAGAAACTGGCGTTTTGGGAGAGGGGCGAGGCGCCAGCAACTATGGGGATCGCAGCCCTTTTGTAGCACATTTGTGCGCCGGTTGTCGAGTCAAGGACTGCATGTCAAGGGTATGCTTTGATCACGTATCATGGATAAAGGTTACACAGCACGCAGTTGCTGTTGGAAACGGGACCGTGGTGGCTCGGCCAGCTTGTTTCCGGCTCTTGAACTACCCTGGTTCTCGTCGTCGACTGCGGCCGTTCGAACCGCAATCAAACAGTTGACTACTACTGCGATGCTCACGAGCGATCTGTCCGTCAAATGAGGTTCCGGCGAGCCTGAGACTACGGCGGTATCACATCTCCTGATTGACTGTGGTGATATGCACCTGCATCACCAAGTGAAGCAAGTGATGCCACCCGAGCGACGAGTCGAGCCAGCTAAACTACTACGGCTGCAGAGAGCCGTACTAGATTGGCCGTCAGGTAAGGCTAGTCGCATACCAGACGGAGCAGATGTTCGTAATAATAGGCAGCATGTGATGGTGTACTGTCGATTAATCGGCACAACCAATGGTTATTGAGCAGCTCTCAGGCACCGTATACCCTCACCAGGACGACACGACAAAGGCGAAATGACGATGCACGCCATGTATCCACCCCCACGGCTCTTCGGAGTTCCCCCGTGTATCCACTCTCACGCCAGTCCGGAGTTCGCCCATACATCCACTTTCACACCACTCCGGAGTTATCCCATACATCCACTCTCACGCCACTCCGGAGTTCCGCCATACACCTACTCTCACGCCACTCCGGAGTTACTCCCTACGTCTTGCATCTTACACGTCCCATCACGGACCATTGCGGTCTCGTGGCCAACCAACCACCATGCACAGGGGGACGTCGGCTGGTCGGGCTGGGCTGCCCTCGACAGGCGCCATGCCTTCAACCCCAGCCCAGCAGCGGCGGACCTTGGCCGGGTGCGGTGGCGGCGGCCGGCCCGGCCCCAGCCTCAGCTGTGGTCGCTCCTCCCGCCACCCCACCTCCCGCCGCCGGTATTGATCGCGTTTCGGTCGGGGTCTGGAGCGCGGGGGTGACGTGTCCCCTCCCCTCCCCTCGCCTGCCTCCCCCTGCCGCCGTCTGGTATTGATTCGGCGGCTCGCCAAGGGGGACGGCGGCCCCCCTCCCCCGGTCTAGCCGGAGGCTGGGGTGCACCCCTCTGTCTCCAGAGGACCACATCTGCAACGGCCCGCCTCTGAGCTGAGTCAGGGCTGGACCGCCCCTCCCCTCCCCCTCTCCCTCCCCAGCTCCGGCCCGGAACGGTTCCCGCGCCGTCTCGCGGACTCCGACGGTGAACTGCTGTGTTCTCTGTTGCTCTCTGTTGTTGAACTGCTGCTATCTGTTGCACAGCATGAGCACGAACGAGTTCCGTGACGAGTTCCCGAAATCCAAATTCGTGACGATCATAGACGTATATTTTAATATGCAATGCGGGTCAAGGGATAGACGTTGATTACAATTGAAATGCTAAACTAACTTCAGAACGAACGAGCCGAAACATAACATGATACGACAAACGAGGGCAATATTTCTAAAATCATGTGTAGAACTGTAACTAAACATCAGTGGTTTGGCTTCATTGGAGCCATCTGACCACAGGGCACTGATCATTTCTACTACTTTCTATAGACCAAATCCGACGACCTTCGACGTTTATTCGACGTTTAGTCGCATTAACTTATGTAAAAAAATTATACGGGAGTATGTGCCCCGGTGCCAACATGCCCATTGAGTGCCCTGCTGGGAGTTTGCAACTGTGTCTGATGCACAATGATTTTTACAAGCTCTTCTAACATCGCCAACACGACAGACTGTCCAGCAGCATGGCACGTTTCAAGTTCCCGCCGGAAATGTGGCGAGCCTCTGGGATCGTCCCGGAGCCTGCTGGCGGCCTAGCGCCTTCAGGTCACTTTTGGGAGTCGATCCATGACCTCATTGGCAGCACCAGACCGCCGCACGGGACCCCTGAGCGTTGCATCGGGCCCTTAAACTGTTCTAAAATGTCGTGAATGTCCTCGGTGGAGGACTTCCGAGTCGTTAACCCCAACACGTACAAGGTCAATTGCTCGGTTCATTACCTGCATGCTGTCATTCAACGGCCCCCTTCAGATTTAACGATTAGGATAGTAACACCTACTCGAGTGGGGCTTTACCAACACGACCGGAAGCGGACGTTTCTCTGTATCCACCTACCGCTGCGTGTGGCTTGAACATTGACACGCACTTAGCAACTTACGCAAAGCAAACCAGATCGATAGGCGGCCAGGGCGTTTTCACAGAAGTAAGAGCCGTGTCTGCATCCTCGCACCATCGATTGAGGCTAAAACTGAGCAATATAGCACCCCTGGGCCGTGTGTTAAGACGCCCATTTTATACCTTGAGCATTTCGTACCTGCAGTATGGGAACGCACCACGCTAAGTGAAGGTTAGAGGTAAACGACGGGGAGATAGAAGAGCAGCCCTGCTCTGCGCCGTCCTGAGCTCAACGAGGCTGGTCTACTCTGAGCCGTCCTGAGCTTGACATCAGCCCTGCTCTGAGTCGTCCTGAGCCCAACGAGGCTGGTCTGCTCGAGGACAGCGGATTGCGGCACCTCAGGCCCGACCGCTCTCCGCCGGGCAAGGCCCGCTGATCCCGAGTCCTACGAATCCCGGTACCGCCACTGGCCCGGGCCGCAGACGCAGGGGTGTCCAGCTAGCGCCGGCTATGCTCAGCTGGTCCCGGTGCCGAAGTATCAGCTGTTGGCGTTTTCAGTGTAGGACGGTATGTCGGGTACCAGCAACAGTCAGGCATTGCAAGTCGAAGTACAGCTCCGCGGTACCACCGTTACGGGGTTCCAAAGCATTTCATCCCGGATTGGGACACCAGCCCTGACGGAAGCCGGTGGACGCCGCCATACCCCCCCCCCCCCTCCCTCCTTTCCCATCTGGTTCCCCTGGCCCCCTGCCCCTTTCCTGGAACAGTGGACGCATCAAAGCCCGTTGTGTGACGCTGACCAAGCTATCGACGCGACACTGAATAACAGAGTGAAGGGGGGGGGGGGGGGGGTTACTCCGACCTGTTTTTACTCGATCCTGTTTTGCCGTAGTCACCCGGTGCCCTGAAGACGTAGTTGCTCGCTTTTTTTGTTGTTAATTAGGGCTTTAGTGCGCGTTTACTGCGGATGTCACGTTGCACCCACACAGCACAAGCACTGTCAGCTGTTTCATTTATTTAACAAACGCCTCCAATACAAAAAGTCACACAAAACATTCAGTCGTTTGCATTGGTGCAACTACATTTGTACATTTTGATTCCATGCTGAAGTCCACTCCTGCTGGAAATGCCTGATCCATGCACATACTGAAGTGTGACAGAATGTGCAAAGATGTGTCAGCCATGCGCATGACGCTCCAGATGTCAAAAGGGTGAGCACATGCAATGCGTCCACACTCTAACCTCCTCACTCGTTGTTCCCAGCGGTGCAGTTTCCATTGAAACTGCACAGACCGGGCGCTTATGGCACATCGGAACCACAATCCACCGGGCACCCGTTGTCTAATGTTCCCAGAATGCATGTTTTCATTCGTGATCAGCTTCAGAAACTGCTTCATTTATTTTGCCTCCTCCTCATGGATAGGCTGTTTCTTATGCTTTAGAAGTACAAAAATATTTGTCTCTCCATCGGGTATATATGCTTTTCTGAAGATCAATATTAGGCACATGGATTGAGGAAAGTGCTCGTTTCATTTAGATATGGCTCGATGTAATGAAGTATGAAAATAACCTCATGCATGCTGTTAGGCCTCCTTCGTTGAGAAAAACGTCTTGCTCACACGATACGTACATCCATCACGCTTTCTCAATTGAATACAACAGAAAGTAGCATTGATATTTTCACACTCATTGAAGGATGGAAACGAAACATTAACCTACCTAACTACCTACCGCTACTGCACACTCTTGGACTCTACGTTGTACATGACACACATGACTAGAGGCAATGCATCGCACTATAGCAAGTTATTTTCCCTGAAGAACACGGCTCATACGGAAGTGATTGGCCACGAGAGATTCCACCTTTCCATATACACCATGAATTCAACCACACCATTTTGAGCAATACGTAAGCCCAACACGACGGGCATCAGCGTCCATCATGTTATTTGTGACCATTGTCCTCGCTCTCCGACTCGCTCTTCTCCCTCGGACCGTTCCGGGTGTTCATCTCACCCACCCCAGAGATATTTGCAGACCTGCCTTCTCTATCCTCCGTGTGCCTCGGCTAGCGCTGGGGCGTGCCGGTGCCGCCACCGTGCCGCCGGACTTGGTCAGGGCCGGCGCTGCCTGGCGCCGGCCTCGGAGGCGGCGCCGCACGGCGAGGCCGCCCGGCGCTGCGGCCGCGGCTGCTTGCGGCTCCTCTTGGCGGCCGGTTCCTCGTCCTCCTCACCTGTGAAGAGTGCCTCCTCGTCATCGTCCTCCTCCTGCTCGGTCATCTCCAGGCGGAGGAAGGAGGCGCAGTCGATGGCGGCCGGTGGCTCGGCGGCGGCGGCGGCGGCGGCGGCGGTAGCACGCCGAAGTGCTGCTCGGTCAGCTCGGCGCAGCTCCAGCACAGCGACACGTGGTGCAGCGGCCAGTGCAGGCAGAACTCCAGCACCGAGCCGAGCGGCGCCGCGCAGTGCGGGCAGCGCAGCGCGCCGTCCGCGTGCCGCTCGGCCACGTGCGCCTCCAGCGGGCCGTCGCCGACCGTCTCGAACCGGCAGCGCGCCGCCTGGCAGCGCAGCCGGCGGCCGCCGTGCACGCAGACCAGCGGCGGCCGCACCAGCCGGCACAGCTCGCATTCCGGCGCCGGCCCCGGCGGCAGCGGCAGCGGCAGCGCCGGCATCGGCGCCGGCGCCGGCGTCGGCGGCTCCGGCTCGGCCGGCGGCGGCGACGGCGTCGGCTCGCTGCGCACGGACGGCACGTTGAGGATGACGGGCGCGGCCGGCGCCGGTGCCGGCGGCGGCGGGCTGCCCCTGCCGCGCTGGTGGCTGTACCGGACGTGGTCGGTCAGCACGGCCGGGTCCGTGGTGCGGAACAGGCAGACGGCGCAGTCGAGCATCTGACGGCCATGGTCGGTCACCATGTGCGCCTCCAGCTCGGCGTGCAGCTGGAAGCTGCTGGCGCACATGACGCACGTGAAGCCCTGCCGACTCTGACCGTTCTGACTGGAACAGCAGACACGGCACGCCGGTCAGATGACAGCGGACAGTGTTCCCATCATCTGCCGGTATCGCCAGTTCATCCGTCCAATCATTCGTCGGTCCCATATCGGGGTTATCGTAGAAAATATCATCATTGACAGTCTTCTTTCCTACAATGCCAAACATCTGCGTGAAATTTATGGTCATTACCGCGATGCCAGTTTGCCACCAGTGATGCAAGATGCAAGTTGTTTACCTTCGGAAGCGCAGATCATTAGAGGCAGTGGTAGCAAATAAACACAGCCCGACACTATTGCAGAAGCCGCAGCGTTGGTCCGAATGCGCGAATGAACGTTCTGGCGCGGACTCTCTGTGATGCACGCTAGACGGGAAATCATCGTGTCGTTTATCACATCGGTTATCGACTAAAACTTCTGGTATTTCTCATAGTCTCCCGGCCACATTCATCCCACCGACGGCGGGCCGGTCAGCACGTGGCATCACTCACTGGGTGTTGAGCTGGTGCATGCTGAGCGCCACCGGGTCGTCGCAGACGAAGAAACACTTGATGCAGATCTTCTTGGCGTGTACCTTGGAGGCGTGCCAGGTGAGTCGCTCCGAGCGCGCCGCCTTGTACGGACACAGCGGGCACGTGTAGGGCTTTGTGTGCGTGTTCATGTGCCGCTTCAGGCACCACGAGTCGAAGCCGCGCCAGGGACACTCGGCGCAGGCGAAAGAGCCCTGGCGGCCGGCCCGCTCGGCAGGCTCGGCCGCGTCACCGCCGGCCCCATCGTCTGCCGCGTCCGACACCGGCACCGAGCCGCCCAGCGGCTGCTGGCGGTTCTCCTTCTGGTCGGCGGTGCCGGTCGGCGAGGCGGCTGCCTGCGGCGCCCCTTTCCGGCCGCCGCCGCCCCCACCGCCGCCGCTGCCGCGCCGCGACACCACCCTCGCGTTCGGGCTGAGCACGAGCGGCTTGGTCTCCTCGCGGGCCAGCGGCGGTGAGGGCGGCGGCGGCGTCGCCTTGGCGCGTGGCTTGATGTGCCGCTCGGCGGCGATGGCCGGCGCGCGAGTGTAGTACACCTGCGCCGTCAGCGTCTTGGGCGGGATGCGCCGAATGCGAGTCACGTCGTACGGGTCGTCGCGGTGGATGCGCAGAAAGTGTTTCTTCACGTGGTCCGCACGGTTGAACATGCGCTGACAGATGTAGCACTGGAACGGCTTGTCCGACTTGTGAATGTTTTCGTGTCGGTTGTAGAGGTCGCGCCGGTGTGTCGAGTACGGACAGTAGGGACAGTGGTGCCGCTTGCCGGACGCCTCCTCGGCGCCGTCGGCCGCCTCCTCCTCGGAAGGCGAGGTCGGCGCCTGCTGCTCGCCCTGCCGCTTCAGCACCGCCAGCCGGTCCAGGATCTCAGTCATGACGTTGCTGTTGTTGAACTCGGACACCTCCGAGACGCGGTCGCCGTGGTGGCGCACCAGGTGCATGCGCACGCAGCGCTGCCACGAGCTCATGTACGGACAGTGCGGGCACTGGAACGCCTTGAAGTCGGCGTGCGTGCCCAGCCAGTGTTCTGCCATGGGGCGGGCCACGAAGGCCGTGACCGGACATTGACCGCAGCGGAAGAGGCGCTGCTCGCCGCTGTACGTGGCGATGGGCGCGTCGTGCCAGCGCAGCTCTGCCGGCCCGGCCGACAGGTCGCCGCTGCTGTCGGCCCGCTCCAGCGTGACGTCACCGCGGCGTAGGCGCGCCGAGATCGCCTCCATGAGGCCGGCTGCGCCATTCATCGCCGCCATCGCGACCTGCCGCACACGAAACGACCAGGGCCAAGTCAGTGGTGGAACCAGTGTCGAGGCGGGATGTGAGTGGGGAGCGAGGCTTTCAGGCTTCCCTGGCTCTGTCGGCTAACGAGGACTGAGTATGCTCGAATCGCTCGGCCACCATGTACAATACGAAGCATCAGGGCGCCTCGACTGTTCGTTCACACACACCACGTGCAATGAAGGTTAAAGAGAATATGAATGCTTTTAATTCTAAAATCGAGATGGCATTATCAATCGTGGTGAGTAAAGCCCAGGTGAATCCATCTTGCGCATATGAAAGGGGGGGGGGGGGGAGCAGACAGTACGGCCCAAGTGGACATATCTGGCACATCTGAAACGAAGGGGAAAGACAAAGACGGGCATATGTTTAAAATGGCACAGCATTCAGATGCAGCGAGAGTGCGAAGAGAGCAAGCGAACGCAGCCACACAGGCAAAAACGAACCAGAGTATGTCTTGTTCGCTGGTATGCACAGACTTCGGAGTTTTTCACGATCGCGAAAACGTATTCAAGCGAGCAATCGAGCTGAACAGAATCCTTGGGAAGCTATGCAGTGGTAAGGCCTTGCTTGAACTTTAAATAATGTTTCAGTTATATTTACCACTTTGAAGTGCACATGTCTACAAGAATGCATTCAACGTTAAGGATACAATTCAACTAGAAAACGCACGTGCCATTTAGTGAAGGGATACCTAGCGTGAAAGTCTGAGATAAAAAAGAAATGGCGGGTGAATTTCCGACGGAACACTCGAGGGGTGAATGTTGAAATAATATTTTCAAAGGACGGTCGACACATGTAAATTAGTCCGTGAATGCTCACATAGTCTAAGCACTGCAAAGTCGCAAAATGTTTGTGGTCCACTATTATTTGATACAGTGCGCATCGGGCACTGCAAGGGCATTTGCAAGGAAACACTGCGGTCGAAAAATACTGGAACAGACACATCTAGTGCATGCATCGCATCAAAATTCTTCATTAACAGATGCCACATCACGCACTGAAACATGATCAGCTCAGAAGCAATGCGATTGAGAAGTAGTGACACATCCTTAACACAACAGCGATGAGAAATCACACCACCGTCATACCCCCCCCCCCCCCCCCCACCGTCCCCCCTCCTCTCCCCCTCCCCAATACACGGGCTACACTTTCGCCAATGTTTCAGGTACGGGCACAGACGAGTTTGCCCGAGGTACGAGTTTGCCCCCAAATGATCTTTCGAAAGTCCCGTATACGGTGGCATTGTAGCGAACGATAGGCCCTCAAGCGGAGACACAGGGATGCCCCGCGAACTCGCTGTGTGACACGGTTGTCGGGCGCGCATATCGAAGATATCGACGATGCCCGAATCACGCTGGTGCAATATCAATCCCCATCCCCAGCACAGACGTTTAGAGTCCACATCAATTTTAAGATATTCAAGAACACTGGCATCGGACCAGTGAGATTCATGGGTGTTATGGCCACGCATTTTCACGAGTACCGTACATTAGCCGTGCGGCGACGAATCGAAAGAATCTACTTCAAAATTGGTTGGCCGATCTAATCTCTGGGACGTTCCTGCACTTATGTTCAAGGCGACAGCTGGATTAAGGGGTCGGATTTAAAGCGATTAAGGATTTCGCTAAGAAAAAGTGTGTGAAAATTACGTTCCCAAAATTTTACGTTAATTATCATATTCATTTCCTCCAAAATACGTGCGTGGCGTTTTAGCCATTAATGGTGCTCACAGGTCGTTGGATGGTGTACAAAGAAGAAACTGCTGTTTAGAATCATTAGCTTAGATCTACTAACTGCAGCTTTAAGTGACCTATTCCCACGTCATTTGACTGTTGTTGCAGTTTTCGGCCAAACTGCACTTCTATCGCATTGCACATGCTTGTTTTCCGTTGCTATGGTATCAATGCCTAGGAGTCAGCTTATTCTTTTCCATCCCTTAAAACAGAAAGGCTGAATCTCCTGCAAGGAAGCCGCACCAAATCATAAAGAAAAAGGAAACGAAAATAATCGTAAGTGATAAACACCAGTGCCTCATCGTTTTCTTAATGATATTTTCAACAGTTTCCTCGTTAATTCCACTATCCGAACTCATCGCCCCTTAATGCCCACTATCCAAACAGATGGAGGGACAGGTACACGTGACCCGTGTGGTACTGGGTTGGAGGGGCAGGTACAGGTGACCCGTATGGTGCAGGGGTGGAGGGGACAGGTCCAGCTGACCCGTGTGGTGCTGGGGTGGAGGGGATAGGCACAGCTGACCCTGTATGGTGCAGGGGTGGAGGGGACAGGTCCAGCTGACACGTGTGGTGCTGGGATGGAGGGGATAGGCACAGCTGACCCGTGTGGTGCAGGGGTGGAGGGGCAAGCACAGCTGACCCGTGTGGTACTGGGGTGGAGGGGACAGGCACAGCTGACCCGTGTGGTGCTGGGGTGGAGGGACAGGTACAGCTGACCCGCCTAGTGCGGGGGCGGGAGAGGCTCCGGCGGCCGACGCCCAGCCCGGGCTCACCACCCACGGGCGGGACGCGGCGCGGGGGCGGACTGGTCACCGGGCGGAGCTCCGAACCTGCTGCGCAGTCGGCGCGGGGCTGTCCGGCCCACCGCCAGCCGGTCGGCCCTGCACCGGGCCACATCGACAGCAGACCATAGAGACTGCCTTCAGACTGACACCAGACATCCCACCACCCCCAGACTGGCCACGAACCAGCGGTGCGACTGCACCGGGCTACATCGACAACAGACTAAAGAGACTGCCTTCAGACTGACACCAGGCATCCCACCACCCTCAGACCGGTCACGAACCAGCGGTGCGACCGTATCGGGTTACATCGATAGCAGACCATAGAGACTGCCTTCAGACTGACACCAGACATCCCACCACCCTCAGACTGGCCACGAACCAGCGGAGTGCGACCCAATAAGCCGACAGGCAGTAACAAGCTCTCACTATCAACACGCCCACGGCACACTGACGATATACAGGCGACCGATTGCCGCTTCACGACTGTTGGCCCGAAGGGACTGTACAGCTCCTCGGGGGCTTGCTAACATGGTTCGCCCATTTCCTGTATATGACCGGTCATTTTCCTCTCTCACGATTTTAAGGCGCGAACAGTCCACGTGACGTAATTCATGCACACTTCCAGGTCTGCACGATTTGCCCTTGACGTCCGATGCGCCCATTAGGTGCTCCTGGCGTCCATTCAGTGGCGGCGCTTATTCCACATGTGTAGTGCTGTCACGCTCCCCACATTCCGAAGTTCAACGCGTCGTCGGGCCGCTAAAAATAGTGCCGATGACCCTGTCCTACACGCCTCCGCACACTGAAGGTCCCCGCCTGAGCTGGGACTGTGCAGACCGCAGTGGGCGTTGCGTTCCCGTCAGCGGCAAACCAGCCTGGTAACGGGAGCTGTGGGTGGGCGTGCGCCGTCAGTGATCGACCCGGAACTCGCGACCCCGCCACCCCACCTGCCCCGTCGACACGCGCTGGTCTGACGGCAGCCTCGGCCGACGCTCGCGCCCGCCTCAGCAGTCTCCGCCGCCGCGCCGGGCTGCGGCCCGCCTCACGCTCTGGCGTGAACGGCGGCGGCCTACTGCAGCGGAGCGCTCATAGCGCGAGCTTCCGCTCCTTCCCCGTCAGCCGTGGCTCAAGCCGGACTGTGTACCAGCGCCGGCTGATAAGAGGCGGAGGGTAGGGGAGCTACTCCCAGCACCGAGCAACATTTTACATTGATCCTATTGGAGGCGAGTAAAAGGACACGAGGGTAAAAATCATTTTTGCACCGCCCCCGCAGAGATTTTGTTGTCACTACTACGTCCCCATCGGAATATATATATATATATATATATATATATATTAGATATATATATATATATATATATATATATATATATAAATGCTTCCGCTACGGACATTTGACCGGAGCACAGCCAACACAACGTGCCAGTCCGGCGTGTTCCTGAGGCGGGGCACAGGGAGCACCCCGAACACTGCCCACCCGAGAGCTGTTTGGCCTGCCGTCTCCTCCCGAGAGCCAACTATGCCCAAGGTCAGGGTATACATTGCTACCTCATGTTGAGAAAGGAGCATTGCACATCAATCGTCGTTTCTAAGGCAGAACATATCGTAATTAATTGTAAAACAGGTCATCTAAACTCATACCTTGGAACTTAAATAGACTACGATAGCGAAACATCCGAGCGCAAAACACGCAGCAACCACGACCCCGGCGCCATTTCTACGCGTAATCACATTACTGCGTGATCACAACATTACTGCGCATCAAGAATCATAAAAATGAACGAGGCCAAGGTAACAAGAATCCAATAAAATGTGTTTGTTGTGTATCCCAGCAGTCTTCCGTATTGCTGTAGGTTGGTCAACATGGTGGGGAAATATAACGTTTTTGGGAGGAATGAAAGCCAAAATGAGAATAAGGCGGCTAAACAAAACTTCTTAATATGGTGCATATATGTGGCATGGAACATGGATGCCAGTGGGACACGGGTTTGAAGGGGATAGAATGGGGGGTTAGGTTAGGTTAGGTAGGTTAGGTTAGATCAAGTTAGGTTAGGTTAGGTTAGTTTGTTAGGCTAGGCTAGGCTAGGCTAGGCTAGGCTAGGCTAGGTTAGGTTAGGTTAGGTTAGGTTAGGTAGGTTAGGTAGGTTAGGTTAGGTTAGGTTAGGTTAGGTTAGGTTAGGTTAGGTTAGGGTAGGGTAGTTTAGGCTATGCTCTGGACTATTCTGGCCTGTCCGTTTCACAAACATACCTAGACGCGATAAGAAATGTTTTTTCATTGCATTATTATTGCTACCTTGGTCCCGTACATTTTTATGGTTTTTGATAAGCAGAAATATTGTAATTACGCAACGACAACGCAGAAACGGCGCTGGGGAGTCGAGGCGGTGGGGTGCGTGCGGTGGTAGGGAGCTCGCTATCGTAGTTATTGAAATTCGATGGTAGGAGCATGAATCTACCTGTTTTAAGATTATTTACGACATGTTCCGCCTTAAACACGACGAATGGTGCACAATTATTTTTTCTAACGTTAGGTACCAATGTGTACCTACACCGTGCCCACTCCCGGAAGGCCATTCCGATCGGCCCCCACTCAGAGGACCAACTGAACCCGGCCTTCTCCCAGTAGCGTGGGTCATTTTCTCGGTGCAGGGCCTGCCAGCCCGACGCTGCCTCTGGTAGTGTCCACTCGTCCCGAATCAACGCAAAAACAACAACTTGCCCGATCGCAGTGAAATCGTTTGAATCCGGGAGTGCACGGCTCCAGTGGCCGCGCATTTCAACGCAAACCAGACTCCCGCGATTGTAGACGCGCCGTAATTAGCACAGATGCCTGGGCGCGTCAACACAAAAGTGTCGGCAAGAAACCAAGCTTGCGGTTTGGATTCCGTAGAGACGATGGGAAGGCCGTCGCCAGGTGGCCTTCAAAGTTCGCTCTCGGCTCGTTCTCTGTCCGCCTCGCAATGAGCACCCCTCCCGCTTCCCTCCCTCCCGC